ATCTCTGGAGAATACTTCAAAGTTTTAGTGGTAAAATTTTCAGCTCGATCGGACAAACTAAAAAGGGGGTCATAAGCAGTCAAGATTTAGAAAATTACTGTTTTACAAAACGCTAAGTAAAAGAAAAAAATTTACATACGATTACTATAAAAAAAAATTTTCTCGATCTAATAACTACGTAAAAGTAAAATATTTAGAGTCGAATAATGTCTCTAGTTGCATATGGCACTTCAGGCTATCGTGTCTGAGGCTCAGCTCGAAATCGAGTTTTTGGTCACCAAAGAGGGGTACCCTTAATTCTTTGTTGCGTAACGACTACTTTCGTGTTATCTTGGAAAAGTCGCAGTCACTACCAGTAGCTAGCCAACCTAAAATACAGTTATGATCTGAAGGTAACGCTTGAAAATTTGCAGATGTTATCCACAATTAGCGCTGGAGGCTTTATACATACTATCACAAGAGAGGCCTTAAATAGTCATCAAGAATACCGTCATGGATAGTTCTCAAAAAGTTGTTAAGAGTACTCCTGGACAGCGCTTAAAAAGTTACTAAGCATATTTCCAGATTCCTCTCAAAAAGTTGCTAACGGTGCTCCTAGGTAGTTCTTAAAAAGTTACAGGAAGCACATGTATTAGAGTTAAAAATAATGCTAATATCTAAGCATTAATTAATGCTAATGTAAAACAACACCAAAGCATTAATGTTTATTTAAATGCTAATACATAAAGTATTACTATTATTTTAATACTAATGCCAATCCGACACTCTTAGGTTTCACTCTAATTCATTTGCAGATATGTGCCAACAGAGGGTCAGTGGTGCTCACTCTCCCCCACCACCAATTTTAGAAAATTTTTAGTTTTACACAGCAAAAATCGTCGATTGTACCCAAAAAAAGCCCGCAGAATAGAAAAAAAAATTTTGACACCCCCAGTTTAAGAAATCTGTATAGGCACCATTTTTTTAAGCTCTTAACATTTCCTCTAGTATCTCCCCACTTTTTTCTCTTCGGCACATTCCTGTTCATTTGAGCTGGTGGCCTCCACATCCTCACGTGAAAAATGAATAGTTATGGTAAACCATGTGCTCGGATCTGATTGGTTCATTTTTTTTATATGGAGTGAACCACATTTCTTTGGCTAGAGTGTTTGGTTCACTTCCTAGAACCACTTGCGAACATCTTTTTACCAAGCTCTTTGAGATTTCTACCGGTTTTTTTTTCGTTCAACTTCTATCAATGAATTAAAAATCAGAAGTTTTAAAGATGTTTAATAAAGACAATAAACTAGAGTATAATCGCGCATAGACATAGAAACATAAGCACAGTATTACCATGTGAAAGAGAAAAAAGAGGTGAGGACAACAAAAAATAATCATAGTAATAATAATGAGAAAGAATTTATGTGTGTGTTCTCACTGATCTCTCTGTACAACTTAACACCGGGAACTACACTCTTGCCCGTTTTTTTTATTAAATCGTGATAAAATAGAAAATATAAAGAGACAAACAGACGAACATCACACCAAAAAGAAAGAAAGAAAGAACTGTTCTAATATGAAATGAAGGATTAAACTAATTAGGTATCGATGATAGAACTATTAAAAACTAAATATCAATTAAGATCGACTAGTTTTTTTTGAAAGCATCTTCGCCAGCATATGTTGCATTACTGCCGAGTTCTTCTTCAATACGTAATAATTGATTGTATTTGGCTAAACGTTCAGAACGACATGGTGCACCAGTTTTGATCTATTTTAATTAAAAAAAAAAAAGAAAAACAAATAAAATCTTGAATTAATTCAAACTATACTCATACCTGTCCAGTGCCTAGGCCAACAACAAGATCAGCAATAAAAGTATCTTCGGTTTCACCACTACGATGGCTAACCATAACACCCCAGCCAGCACCACGAGCCATTGTACATCTGAAAAAAACAAAAACATATTTACAATTAAATTATTTTTCTGAAAATAAAAAAAGACTGACAAAAACTTACGCTGCAATGGCTTCAGAAACTGAACCAATTTGATTAACTTTGAGTAAAAGACAATCACATGCTGTCTTTTCAATAGCCATTTGAATTCGTTTTACGTTCGTTACTGTTAAATCATCACTTCAAAAATAAATAAGATTTTATATATATTTTTTTTCGATGAAAATTTTTTAATAAATCTTTACCCAACAAGTTGTACAGCTTTGCCCTTAACACCATTAAGAAGTGTTTGAAAACCACTCCAATCATCTTGATCAAAACCATCTTCAATTGATATAATTGGATATTTTCCAATTTGTTCAAGATAATAAGCAACTAATTGGTCACTTGTTAACTAAAATAAAACAAATATAAATTCTAATCTTGTTTTATAATTAAATTATATTTACATAGTGTGGATTGCCTTTTTCTTTATTATTTAAATCATATTTTTTTTGTTGTTCATCAAAAAATTCACTGGCTGCAACATCCATACCAATTTTAATTTTACCATTATAACCTGCTTTATCAATGGCTTTGACAAGAATATCAAGAGCTAAAATTATTGATAACAAAACAAAAACAGTTTTTATTTTTGTTTTTGTTATTATCGATAAGTCTTTATTACCTTTATCAGCATTTTCAATGTTTGGTGCAAAACCACCTTCATCACCAACATTAGTTGCATCAAGGCCATATTCGGCTTTGATTCTAAAAAAAGAGGATTTTTCTTGTGTATTGCTTTACAAAATATTAAATAATTAATTCTATCTTACAAATTTTTTAAATGATGATAAACTTCTGAACCCATACGCATAGCTTCTTTAAATGTTTTAGCTCCGGTTGGTAAGAGCATAAATTCTTGCATAGCAAGTTTATTACCAGCATGACTACCACCATTAATGACCTATTCGATTTTAAACCATAAAATTTAAATAAAAAGACAGACTTTTAAAAACAAATTCAAGATTTAACTTACATTAAATGCAGGTACTGGTAGTCGCATGCTTGAATTTGAAAGCTTAGCAATATATTGATATAAAGGTAAATTACTATGTGCCGCACTAAAAAAAATAAAAATAAAATAGATGTAAAAAAATATAAACACAATCTTGAAAATCATTGACATATAAGGAGTTCATACAATGGGATAAACCTAATGATAGTGTACCCGTTATTCACAGTAGAAATTAACAGTACGCTAGTTTCATATAAGTTCTTCTTACAAGTGAACGTTTCTAAATGTCAAAATGCTTTTCACTTGGATCTAGAGAAAATTATTCATATCACATCGAAAATAATTCTTCAATACTCATTGTTTTTTTTTTATTTATTTAGTTGACGATTAGTACTTTTTTTGCGTCATCTCTCTTGAATTATGTGCTAATTTATACGTAAGTATCCTGAAAAAAAGTTCGGGCTATTAGCTTATCACTACTAAGATATGGTATTTTTAAGCATAATGCCCTGGTCTTCCTCAGAAACACCAGGAAAACTAAGTTTCGATTTAAAGCTTTGTTCAGAAAATAGGTCTTTATGACAATAGTTTATTGTGAAAGTTTCAGATTTTGTTTTTGATTGCTCTGGTTCTGAAATAAGAACATTGGAATCTGTCGGTATTTATGAGTGACATAAAAAAAAACGTATTTTTTATCATAAGCATATATTAATACAGGAAAAATAAAATGATCTAAAACTTTCATAATTTACTATTCTTGTTAACCTCTGTCTTTGTGTAAAGTTTCAAAACTTAGTATTCCTGATATTTCTGATGAAGGCTACGACATGATGCTTAAAAATGCCATATCTTGATAGTGATAAGCTAATAACTCGAAGTTTTTTCAGAGTATTCATAACTCATTAAGATACAGAATCCTGACTTAAAAATGATTGGACATTTGGCAGTATTCTGTCGTTAGATGAGCTCGTAAATTAAATAACCATGTCATTCTAGTTTCGAACTTAGCAAAAAAATTTTCATCGCCGAAAAAAAACCGAAATAATTCTTCATTATTCTCAATAGGTATGTTTGTTTTAATCTCTATTATTTTGAATATGTACTTAAATATAAATCGGCTTAGTTTGATGTATTCAAGAACGTCATTATAATTATTTATATACTCTTCTTTTTAATCTTCTGTTTTACTATTCGAGAAAACTATATTGTAAAATCTACAATTAATCTTAATGTAAGAGTAACCAAAACCAAAGGAAAATAAAAAAATCCCTCCGAATAGTTAACAATTAATAAATATTATAATTTCCGATATAATTTTATTATGATTTAACTATAATCAAATAAATGATTAACAGAACGAGAATCTAATTAATATTAAACATCTATAGGATCAAATTTTCTTTCATTTCACTTTCTATCATAACAAATATTGAATTGAATCCATTCTGAATCAAAATACTTTGTTCTTTATTAAATCGATCACTAGTTCCTGAATTCGAACTGATACAAACATTTCAAAAGAACAAACAAAGCTTTACGTAATTTAATAACAAATGTAAACCAATTTGAAAAAGATTTATTTGATTCAATTTATAGATTTTTCAGTTTTATAAGAAAGCTTCTTAATCCTAATACAAAAAAAAAACGGCTTACCCAGCTTTGCATACGGCAATTGAAATACCAAGAATAGCATTGGCACCATATTTTTCTATAAATAAATAATAATTTATATTCTATTGATTAAATCTAATGACTTACTTTTACTATCTGTTCCATCTTGTTGAATCATAAAATCATCAATTTCTTTTTGTTGTGTAACGTCAAAACCTTTCTAAAAGAAATTTTCATAAATATTAAATAAAAGAAAGCAATAATAATTCATTACGCACTTCAACAACCATTTTACCCAATGTTTGTACATTAGCTACGGCTTTTTCAACACCTCAAAAAAACAAAAATTACATAATTTAAAAAAGATTTCAAATCTATTTTATAAATCTTCTACCTTTTCCATGATGTACTGATTTATCACCATCACGTAATTCAAGTGCTTCATAGATACCAGTTGAAGCACCAGATGGTACACCAGCACGGAAAAGACCTAAAAGATAACATTAATAATTTATATTCAAGATAATCTTAAATTAAGAAAGAAAAGCATGATCAACACTTAGACTTAATTGTATAGATATGTCAAAGAAATATGTCAAGTATAAATTTTTAGAGAACGGAAAAAGGAAATGACATGTAAAAAAAAAAAAGAAAGAATTGTTACACAATAATATTCCTACAAGGTCATCTATTGCTTGCATAAATAGTCGGTCCCCTTCTGTGAACTATTATAATATTTGATACTTTTTGCAGAAAAAGAAAAAGGAATCAATTATTCTATTTTATGTAATATATTTCTGTAAAGATAAAACAAAAATTTTAATTATTTTGACGTTAATATGAAATATTAATTAAGAAAGATAAAAATCTTTTATGATCAAATAAATTACTGAATTTTTTATTAGAAAGAAAGAGAAACAAAAAAAGAAATTCTATCAATAGAAATTGTAAATATTACCTTTGCTTGTCCAAAGATCAACTTCAACTGTTGGATTACCACGACTATCGTATATATAACGACCAACAATCTTAAGAATTTTATCACTCATCCTTTTGATTAATTAATAGATAAAGATCTAGAAAAGATCAGATGTATTTAATAAATTATCAATTTAAAAAAAAAAGGCCATTATTCGCATACATTTATTTCTATAGGAAAAACTTACTTAATGTGTTATTGATGATAGGGATATTGGTCAATGAATAGGCGAATAAGTTATGCTAAGATTTTTTCTCCTTTTTCTTAACGAGAAGCGAATATTAGCAAGCAAATCTTAGCAAAAACAAATTTTCTTTCTTTTTTCTTCATATTTCTTCGTTCTCGACAACAAGACAAAAAAAATCTTCATGGAGAGAAACAATTCATCGCGTCGACAACATATACGCATGCATCTATTCTACTTAACAATTGACCTTGTATTCTAGCCGTAGGAACGCAAAAAAAAACGCAAGAAAAAAAAGACGTCTGATATATTGTGTAACTGATGACGACGATCAAGAAGAAGATTATAAAGCGCTATGTGTAGAACAGAAAAGAGAAAGAAAAAAAAAACAACAGATCTGGCTTCATCTATTCGTGGACTCTCGCTCGAGCCAAGGGCAGACATACAGCATCAGCTATTATTGATGATGGCATTGACAAGTTCATTCTTTAGTACACATGATAGGAGAGTAGCTTGTCTTGCTTATAAGCAATACATATTTATTGAAAATAAAAGGAATGATTATATGATATTCTTGCCTTATGTCAATAAGAATAACATGCGAACAGAAACAACTGACAAGTTTATTCTTAATATTGGACATAACAATAAATCAATCATCTTAAATCTAATAATAGACACTTTTAGTTTATAGGCAACGAAAAATGAAAATACTTTTTTGAGCATGAAAGAATGAGAAGAAAAGAAATCGACGTAAAATGTAGGTCAAGTTTTTGTTCTCAATTTTGCGAACATAAACTATTGAATAGTGTTTTACCTGATGTGGAAACGGTGCTCCTCCAGATCGATAACATCCTATACACTAATTGACCTAATTAATAGGACACATCCAAGCATACCAGTGAAAGCATCAAGGAGTATGGATATCACTGATCTGCAAAGGTATTGACCCTTCAAGTTGTTAGTTATTGTACTATATACTGTATATCTGTGCTCCTAAAAATAGATTTTCATCTTACCAGAAGAAAAAATCCAGGTGAAATACTGCTATTTAAACTTTCAAAGTCATATTTCTTTTTTTTAAAAACAAAAAGAAAACAGCAAACCTTCGGTTTTTTTTCCTCTAGTGAATCCAAACATATGTTCCATAATCACCTCATTTTTTTTGCTTTCTTCTTACCTCTCTATATGATCATCAACTCAGCTGTTCTACTTACGGTTGAAATAAAATATTCTTCTTTCTATAGAAAAAAAAATGCGTTATACTTATATTCATCGTTTCTACCAGCTTTATACTGTTGTTTACTTGGTCGACGTATGCTATAAGTTGTAAATACGGGTAATGTATGGATTTGTCGTGTTCTGCTTGTTTTCTATCAATATAACAGCGAATAATAAACGACGATAAAAAATGAGAAAGAATATGATAAATTTTAGCACAGTAGAACACAATGATACAGTTTGCACTATGATTTATATTCTATTGTCGCACCAAACGTTAATTTAAAATAATAAAATAAATATTTTATTCTTTTGATATTTCCTTTTTTTTATTTATATCCAACAATCTAAAGTATCGAAAAGAAGGAAGTAGAGAAGGATATTTTTGTGTGGAATACACTGACTACAAGGAGTAGCAAACAAAGTTTCGCACAAAAATTTTTAATCAGTTTTGGGTGGTACAGGCCATGTACGTGGTGGAGGTAATTCACGTGGTGCCACCATAGCCGAAAAACCATCAGATCGTTCAGCTGCTTTCTTCTGTTCAAGTTCAGCTAAATGATCAGGAATTGGACGATAATACCATCCTTTATGATCACCACGTGCTTGTTCCAAACGTCTAACTTTTCGTTCAAGTGCTCTACAAAAAAATTAAAAATAATAAATAACATCAATTGGTTTTGTTTTTGTTTTTACTTAAGTTGATCTCTCATGACTTGTGTGTAGATGGCATGAAGAGAAATTTCATAACGTTCATCAAATGGTTGAATTACATATCGAGCCATAAAACGACGAAGAGGATGCTGAAATAAATAAATCAATAAATAAAGAGATTAATATCCATTTTTCTTATGAAAAATATGGACAAAAAAAAAGAGTAGAAACAAACTTTATAATATTCCCAATGCCGTGGTTCATAATCTTCGGGAACTTCGGCCAGTTTTGCTTGACCTATATTAGATAATATTAATAAAATATCTATGATTAAAAATACACATACCAACAAATACATTAGCATAAAAAACAATACAGAAGGTAGGTACCAAACCAATTAAAAAGTAATAATGCTAGAAAATAAAAATATAAGAACGATCTTGCATGTAACAAACTTTAACTATTCGTAATTATTCATTAAACAGTAAAATTCGAAGATTTTTTTCATCGATTCCTTTTGTATTTCAATCAAATATTTTAAATACATTTCTATAAGATAGCGAATTGAGAGAAAGAAGTTTATGTTAATGCTTGAATCACTCTGAAGATTGATGTAGGATTCGAGTTCTTCTTAATGAGATGATGACATTTCAATTAATACAATCATCAATTGATCAGTTAAGTTTGAATTTGTGAAATTATGAGTGGCTTTCCATTATAAAAAAAAATGAAATATCTCTGTGTCAATTCAATCAAATGCGCTGACTTTTTTGGTTATTCGTAAAAGTCTATTTAAAGTTTTTTATTTTCATTCGGATGAGACAACCAAATAATACCATTATGTATTAGTGTTGGAATCATGAAAACAATTTTATCTGCTATCAAGTAAGAAAAATAAGGAGACATGAAAACAAATTTTATAAATGGTACTATTTTAATGAATATAGAGTAAATTTTCAGAATTAGTTAAAAATCGACGATCTCAAAATTTATATAACGAGTGATGCAAAAGTTCCTGCTGAAATGTCAATCCATTTTTCATTGGTTAAAACATATGTAGACAAACTCGAAAGTATTTATATAGAATCTAAGTCGAAAGATCTTTCTAATGGTGTATTCAAAACAGTTCTATCATGTCTTATCTTTAAAAACAGTACTAAATTATAACTTGTAAAAACAGCTCAAAATAGTAGACATGGAAGAAAAAGGGATCTCTCAGTGCTTTTTTTTATTCTATCTAATGCGATCGATTGTATGTTTCTGCTCTTTTTTCAATTGGATGATGTAAGAAATAACGTGCAAACTGAATGTAAAACGATTATGAATCAATAAAAGTTTTCGAGATACAAATCGCATCATTTTTAATAAAAACCTGTTGAAACGAGATGGCTATGAATGAGAGGCTAGAAGTTCGAGTGTGAATGTTCTCAAAAAATTCCATAGTATTTTCGGTATGAATTGTCAATAAAAGAGATAGTAATCTGACATAGAAAAGATAAACATCATCTCATGAAATGAACCCAAACAAATCGCAAAATATTGTGGGAACACGGTACCTTCTATGGTATTTCTTGAACATACAGTAAGAAAGAGCTTTCAACTTAAATTCTGTACAAGTGCTCTAGAATTTCACCTTTGGATATAAAGCAATTAAAATTACAATGATAGGTTCATATAGTACCCATGATAGTTACAAAGAGTTAATACATAGTAGTTTACATTCTATTAGGACAATAAATATAACACTCATTATTTAATCATTCACTCACGCATACATGTCGTAATCTATGCATCTTTTTTTGTTTATTAATATCAATATTTCATTCCGATTTTTTATTCTGAAAGGGCGAATATCTCTTTTTTGGCTGCACATTTACATATGGTAGGTATCGAAGGAGTACTGCTCCCTTGTTAAATCAAATACTGATCGATATGTTCGACAGTATTAAGCAAGGAAAGCTCGATTTTACATGAGATATCAGTTTGAAGTTCTAAATAAAGTCTTTAATTAGAAAGATCTATTTTTGTAAGACAAATTTCTACTATAACTTACAAATAAATCGAAGAATTTTCGTTCATGAAATTCTGATATCATCATTCGCATACGTCGTTCTGAACTCCATCGTTTTACAACTAAAATTACATATGTATATAATTAATTTTTCTCATAAATAAAAACAACAAAATTTTACTTGTTTGTAATTGTTGTGTTGGTTTTAATACCGTTTGTAATAATGGTCGAAATTTACTAAACAAAACCATTTTCTATTTGAAGTTTTATGACATTATCTAAAAAATATATATTTCCTTATACATCTATGTAGCTTGATTCTCATGAAAGCACAAACATTTATAATGATTCAGACAAGGGTAACATTTAATAATCACTGGTAACGACAGATTAATGAATATAAGAACAAACTAATGAAAAAAAAAGTGTAAGATTCTGTATTTATAATTTAAACATAAATAAACAATTGACAAGGACAGAGATCTGACTCTAAATCCATTCATGAAAGTGAATATGAGGTAAAGAACAGGGATTGTTTATAACATTCAAAACTATGCTTGGTTATCGATATTTGTAATATTTGTCTGCCGACGAAAAAAAAAACTAAAAATTAGATCGAAGGTCAGATGAACAATAATTGGAATGTTATATATATATAAAGACAAATATAGACAAAAGGATAATAAAGAGATAAGAGAAAAAAAGCCAATTAGAAAACATGAAAACTACAAAAAATTTCTAATATTAGTGCTATTAATATTATTCTTGGTACTACTGCACGTTATGTACACTCCCCATTATTAATGTGCACAGAACGGAAAAAAAATTCTATTGGTGAAATGATTAAGCGAATGTTTCTCGATAAAATAAATACATATAAATAGATGTCATACAAAAGCGATACGTGTTGTATTGAACAGAAAAAAAATAGCGATGACTACTAATTAAGATATAAGAAGTAATTAAGAACAACGTATTTGAAGTATTCATTATGAATGATGAATAAACTAAAATCAAGAAAACAAAGATAAAAGTCGTTTTGATAATAAGATGAAAATTTTTCTTTTAATTAAATTTTTTTAAAAAGTCTAGTAATTATATTTGAAAATGGAAAGGCTTATATATATATATTATCGAAGTGTTCTCATATTCTCATAAGGAAAAATATTTCGATATTTTTGCTATAATAAAAAAAATGACTGATCTCGTGAATGTTGATGATTTGGATTCTATCAATACCAGAAAAATTCATCAACTAACTGCTACACAAGATTTTTGTAGGCTCAGTAATACATTCTGATGAGTGCAGGGCATATTTCCAACTTAATAACCATGCTCTATACACCCATTTAACTGTGAATCATTCTGTACATTTTGTTGATCCTGCGACTGGCGTGCACACACAAAATATTGAAAATACGTGGATGAGAGTTAAACGAAAACATAAAAAACAAGGAGGATTTTCAAGAATTTTATTGCCTACTTATTTAGAAGAATTTATGTGGCGTCAGGATTTCGGCGATAAACCTCTTTAAAATCTTGTTTTACAAATACAATCTATTTATCCTGTTGTGTAATTTTTTTTTAATAAAATTCTTTTCATTCTCACATGACATCTATTTATATGTATTTATTTTATCGAGAAACATTCGTTTAATCATTTCACTAATAGAATTTTTTTTCCGTTCTGTGCACACTAACAATGGGGGTGTACATAAAGTGCAGTAGTACCTTATTCTTAGTCATGGATACGTCTTAAATTAAAATAAATCTATTGATGATTTGATATTGCATCTTCTTCTGTTGCATGCATTTCTGTTAATGATTTTTCACGTTCAATAATATAATCAAGAAATGCTTGACGAATATTATATGAAAATGGACTATCTTGATCGACCATTCGTTCCGGATGCCACTATAATGAAATTAAAAAAAAATCGACAGATAATTTTATATAGACAACATTTATTTATTTATTTTTGTTATTACTTGTACGCCTAAGAAAAATGGACATTCATATGCATTTTGCCATTGTACTGCTTCAACAATTGGATCTTCAGCTCTAGCCGCTGCGAATAAATTTTTACCAAGTATGTCTACACATTGATGATGTGAAGAATTAACAGCACCTTTTACACAACCGGTTATTTCATTAAGAAGAGATTTTTCTGCCACATGAATTTCATGACGTTGATCCATACCTATTAATTGTAGAAAAATAAATTTTTTAATTGTTTTTCTTACAAAAAGAACTACACGAATTGATATCAATCATGTGAACTCATGTCGAGTTTAGAAGGAGATCTCGGTGAGACTAGAAGAACCCGTTTCGATAGATCTTTGTCGCTGAGTTATGATCATTTTACCTAGTTTTTGATTTAGCTTTAGGTATTTACGGAAAAGTCAAATAATGGTATTTCAATTGAAAATTTCGATGAAAAGAATATTACTAGAATTTCCAAAAAATGATTGTTTGCTACAAAAATTGAATGTATTTGAAAACTCAATATCTCGACGAAAGAACATTCTTTCTGACTTTCACGAGAAAATCTTTACAAGTATCAAATCGCTTTTTAACCGAGTCGATGTTCATTTAATGAGTAGTACAAAAAGGCTAGAATGGTTTGGTTTTTTTGAGCTTTCATTCTCGAGATATCGAAATTTTACTGAACAAAAAGTTACGGTTATGTCAAAAATCAACTTTCGACTCCAAACTTTGCACGAGCAAATCTCTCAATGAGATAAGTTCATCGAGGAACTTGTAATTTTTCTAGTATCTCCTATACTGGGATATACAAAATTCTCTCATGTATAAAAGTAATATATTTATATCTTCAAAAAGGAAATACTAAAAAAGCTAAAACTTGCATAATCAATTGACTTCATTAGGAACTTTGTTTGTACAAAGTTTGCAATCGAAAATCAATTTTTCGCTTAATCATAGCTTTTTGTTAAAAGACCTAGTAAAATTTCGATAATTCAAGAATAAAGATCAAGAAAATCAAATTGTTCTAGACTTTTCTATTATTCATTAAATGAATATCGTCTCAAGCGAAAAGCGGTTTGACACCTGAAGAGGTTCCTTCATTAGATTATGCTATCAGCATGAATTTTCTTCCACCAGAAAAAAAAAGTGAAGTTAAAAATGTATTATCTCTATTGCATAGTAAAACTTCAGCATTTTGCTTGAATTCGTCTAATTAGCATTGGCAGATTTAGGAGGAAGAAGCACCCTGGGTAGTCGCCTCTTTCTTCCGGGCTATTTTGTTTTATTTTTCTCAGCAGAAAAACGCTGAAAAATGATCCGATACGTTCTCTAATTTAACTTGAAAACATGCTCAAATGACAATAACATTGTTTTGTTTTTTTATATCATACACTAAATTTTTCTGATTAAATTAACCTCTAGAAGATTGACATGTTAGACTTTCTTAAACTTCTTCGAAAGAATACCTTGTATTTTTGCATGTCCATCAATTTTTGTAATTTTTGGAATATCAAAAATCAATGTACCACCATGATAAACATTAAATAATTGCATACCTATTTATATAGAATAAGAAAAATGTTCTATAGATATTTATAGAATAATATACTAACCACGACATATGCCTAATATTGGTAATTGAAGTTTTAATGTACGTTCTATAACTTCCCATTCAAATTCATCACGTTTTTCATCAATATCAGTTAATTCTACTTGACCAAGAAGATCGGGTCTTTTATATCGACGTGGATCAACATCTTCACCACCGGATAAAACAATACCTTGACATTTATCAATATCATCAATATTATTTAAATGATAAGAAAGACGAATAATATCGACTTTGGTAGGTACATCTAAAAACCATCGTTCATAATTTGCATAACGTGCACAATCAGTTATGCCAATTATAATACTGTTCATTTGTTTGAGAGTTTTCATTTTGAATAATTAATAAATATTAACAATAGCCATAGAAAAACACAATACAAAAAAATCTTCCTTGAGTGGGCGAAATAAACTAGCGACCACGAGCAACCTAATCTGCGAATAAAATCAGGAGGGCATCAGTCGTTCATTTTTGATTGGTTTGATCTTTCGACTAATAATAATAAATTTATAGAAAATAACGTTGTAACATTTTAAAAGTAGTTTTTATTCACAGAACATTGCATTAAAGATAAATTAATTTACAATGAAATAAAAGACTTAAGAATTTATTTTCAAACGTATTTGATTGATTGTAGCGCTATCTATGAAATTTTTCTGTACTTGTATAAACACGATATGACTACTGAAAGAGAATCATCAAGCCTTCTTTGAGTGTGAGTAATTTCAAGTCGTCATTGTTAAAATTCTATTTTCTTTATGTAAATTTCATCATGTCACAAAGTTTATTTATATAAATTTATACTGCATAAACTTGTTTTTGTTAAACATCATTATATAGATGTCGAGGGCAAAATAAAACTTAAGCACCATTTGTTTTTAACTAGGCACAAAAGGACGAAAAATTTATTGAAAAATAAATTCTAGTTTTCGTTTGCATTAAGAAAACATAGCATGCATATGTTTTTTTTTTACTAGACAGGCTATTCATTTTCATTTATATTGTTCAATGATTTCTTCTTTATTGACATTGGAAAATGATTTTTGAAAGTATTTCTATGAACAAATGATCAATATTAAAATTTTTTTGAAAATCTTAATTTTCAAGAGAAGACATTGATTATTCTATTACAGGGAATATATAAACTAAAAAAAGACTTCATTGATATTTTGATTGGAACAAAGCTTAACAGAATAAAATATTTATATTTTACATATCACCAATGAACCAAATTAAATTCGAAGACTAATAAACCTCAATAGAAAAAAAATGTTACTCAAAAAGCATAAACTTAGAGATCCTTTCGTTTTTTTTTCCTGGATCGGATCTTACTAACACAAGCTAAATTTCGATTGAATACACTCGGAAACTCGATAACATTCTAGATTTGACTACACTTCAATTAAAATTGAACATAATATAATTCTCATTTTTTATAGTTTATAAATCTTGTAAAAAAATTTTGTTTAATTTTGTCTAAATCTCAACTTTGCCTAACACAACTATAGCATAAAAGGCATTGATTATTATAACCAAAATAAAATAACACAAGCAAAACTCACTGTAAACCAAGATAATTATTTTTATTTTAATACATATACTAATAATAATATTTAAGTTGAATAAACATGTTCATTATGTTACTTATTATAATAGAATAAAACATATTCTTATAAATAATTCATTTTAGATATGGCCAATTCATCATCAACTCAACCGGAAACATATGGTGATCAACAAAATCAAACAGATAAAATATCAAAAAATGCTGATGAAAGTACGAAATTTAATATTAATATTTTATTTAGTTAAATGAAGTATTTATTACAAAATCTTGACTACTTGGAGTATATATTGCTAATCAGATTAGATTATTCTTGTTAAATTCGTTAATTAATTTGATTCTTTACTTTTTACTTGAAATTAACTTTTTTGTCTTCATATTATTTAGTTCAATCAAGCAATCTTTCTCCATGCCTGACTCCACCACCATCAATTCCAAAATTTGGTGCTTGTAAGTTCTATTATTTTGAATGTTCTAATAATTTTATTTTTCTTGTTTGTTAGCCTCTAGATCACATGGCTCACCGGCTTCAAATAAAGACTCACGATCTCTAGCATCAAGTGCACGACCATTTGAAGTATTTGCTGTTACAGCAACAAATTTCGATGCCAAAGGTGGAACAATGGCAAAACCAGGTGATAGTAGTTCGTCATGGACAACTGACAAACCATAATATTCATTTATCATATATCGACCGTAAACGACTAATAATAAAACATTGAATATTTCATTCAATGAACATGACTTATTATCAATTTTTAATTAAGATGCTTAATTTTTTCATAAAACAAATTTTCGTATAAAAATAAATAATTTAATATTACTTCAAACAGAAGAATAAAGATAATTTACGCATATACGAAATACCATAAAGTTATAGGCATTTCAGTAATCGATGTTTTGAAAACAGGAAAATAAGTAGAAGAATTTCGTAAGATAAGTCACAGTATTCTAAAATCTATTTTATTATTTCTGTATAAGACAAATTTTGTATATAGAATAGTGATAAATTCATGAGACTTGTTTCTCTAACAATTACTTACATCATACTTATTTTCCAATATCAGTTCTTAGAAATTTATTAACAATAAAATAACATCTAGTATAGTTAATTTAATTATAAGCATTGTTTTGAATCAAATTTTTCTAATACAGATAGATTTATATAGAATTTCATAACGATTTAAAAAAATTTGATTCAAAATGATAAAAAATACTAAATATCGACGAAAAGCAAGAAGTATCCTTGTTTATGGTCCACATGATATCAATAACAGTTACCAATATAAAACTAACTGCTTTGAAACCTCAATGAGTTAACAACTATTTAAAATCAATTATGAAATAAATATAATATGCATATTATAGTTTTCTTTCTTAGTAGAGAATATTCTAGAATGCATCATAATCATGTAAACATAGCACTGTAAAGTCTGAAGTTACTCTTCGAAATATCTCTAATACCACTAAACATTTAATAGATTTTAGTTTAGTAAAAAATCATTTTGTCGAAGTCATATATATCTTCGAAGGAAATAGTGAGCGTAAGTTTAAATCGAAGTTTTTACAGCTACCTCCTGAGCCCTAACAACACGAGGAGGGGATAAACTAAAGATCACTGAGTACGTTTTCCTAACAAAGAAAAAGGGTACGTCAATAATAACAATACTCGAGATTGTTCTAGAGCTTTCTAGAACCTTCCAAAGCATTCTATGTATCGAAGATTTCTATTGTAGATTCTAACTAGTCTAAATATTGTGGATTTTTTATATTTAATGCAGCGAAAGAATCTTATTGTAGGTGTCAATAAATAGGGAGGTGATATTATTAATTTTGTAGAATCAAAATAGGACGAGCATAAAAAAATATGAACTAATTCAATTCTAAATTTAGGGTAAAACTCAATAGTATATGTCAAAATTTGCCGAAAGAAAAGCTTACTAAACGATTAAATCAATGTGTATAGTACGCTAATATGATGGTTGAACTGATGGAATGAAGAATAAAATGATATTTGTTGCTTTCTATAGCATGTCTTGTATAAATTATCATTAGGAGAAAAGAAGTTATATATTGAAGATGTATCTGACAATACAAATAAGTTTTTTTTCAGTGTAACGATGTTAAATAAATGTAATAATTATATATGTAAACGTTTTCGAGAGAATAAAATTTCAGAACACTTGTATTAATTATAAAAATTGTTATTGTTTTAATTTATTCATTTATTTGATATTTTTTTAAAAAGAAATTATTTTTAACCTCTAGGACAATATACCATATTTTATAATAGTCAGCGTTTTGTAAGTTCTATTTTCTTCATAGTAAAGTAATTAAATATTTATTTATCATTAGAGTTTTACTCTGTATCCCAGAGTAAATCGGTGTATTTGATTGCCAGTAATATAAAATAATAATCAGAATGATGACCGGTTAGGTCAAATGAAATTCCGTATATTATTTAAAATCGAATTTCTCCAATATTATTTTTCAATTCACGTATTAAATAACGCCATTAAACTTTATTTATCTTCTATATTGCGTTTTTCTAACCTTTCAAGGCCATGTATCTAATTAAAATTATCAATCTGATTGACGTCAAACTTATAATATATCAAAGGTTTAATCATATCCCAAAGAATATCTAACCGAAAAAAACAAAAAAAAGTACACTCGCACACATAACTAAATCAAGGTTAACTTTATGACGTATGTATATTTTTTTTCTTTTGATTATTATCTTGTTCACATATATCATGTTCGAGTTTTTATGTATCAATGATTCAAACTACATATGATCAATATCTTTTCTTTTTGTTTTTTATACAAAAATAAAACATTTATACGTCGTTCGAGATATTGGAAAAATATAGAAAGGGCAAAAATGCGTCATTAATTTCTCAAACGCACAAGTAAACAACGCAATTTAATTACAATCTGATGTATACCCTACATATATAAAAATATCGCCCAAAAGCAATATAAAACACATACACCATTTCTTTTTTTCTTATATTGGTTGTTACTTGGTTTACATCAAAAACGCATTATGTCCTATTTTCCAATTCATCGTTATCGTTTATTCGATGATCCATTTGATCGATTCTTTGGTAATCAATTGAATTTTTTTGATCCATGGCGTGATTTTGATACGTTTCCAACAAATTTTCCAAGATTTTCAAATAGATTTCGATGGATTCATGAACCACGTCGATTAGGTAATAGATCATCATCATCGTCATCATCATCATCATCATATTATTCAACAGGAAATAATTTTTCTGGTGGTAATAGTCTTATTGGTGGTAATACTCTTACTGGTGGTAATAGTCTTATTGGTGGTAATAGTCTTATTGGTGGTAATAGTCTTATTGGTGGTAATACTCTTACTGGTGGTAATAGTCTTATTGGTGGCAGTACTCTTCTTCCTATTACAAGTACTATACCGGTACAATCAGAAAAATATCGTGTTCAATTGGATGCAGCTGGTTTTAATCCAGATACAATAAGAACAAGAATTGAAGGTCGAAAAATAATTGTCGAAGGTAAGCAAGAAGATCGTCAATTTAATGGTGATTTTAATGTTCGAGAAATTCGAAAAACATATGATCTTCCTGACAATGCTGGTAAGAAATAAAAATTTTTCTTTTTTTTGTTTTCATATTTAAATATTCCTATTTAAAATAGATTCAAACAATTTTGCTTCATTTGTTACTCCAAATAATATGCTTGTTGTTGAAGTACCTATTAATATTTCTCGAATAGAACGGCATTCATTTCCAACATTTGCTGATTCTAATGCTCTTTCATTATTTGGACAATTTCGTGATCCTATTTTTGATTATCCAGGTTTTATGGGTTCATCGGAATTTCGTCCACGAATTATTGATTTAGGTAATGGACAAAGACAAATAAAATTATCTTTATCAGTAAAAAATTATCGACCTGAACAAATTAAAGTTTCAGTTAGAAATAATGAATTACATATACAAGCAGAACATACTTATAATGATAGTAATCGTTCTGAACAATCATTTTTAACAAAATCTATTACATTACCACCTGGTACACAAGTTGACCAACTACGATCACATCTTAGTATTGATGGACAATTGGAAATTGAAGCACCATTTATTGAACCTACACAAACGCGTTCAATTCAAGTTCAACATTGGTAAACAATGATATTTAAAATTTTTCTCTTCTTTTTTTTTCTTTTTTTATAATTTTTTTCGCTTATTCAAATAAATAAAGTCGAAATACCATAAATGATTCTTAGTGTATATTTGATGATAGGATAACAAAATATCTTAAAACATTAAACGGATCAAAATAATAAATCGATGTCGACAAATATTGTCTTAAAGTTTATTTCATATTATAAAAATATTTTAAAGATTTACATAATATCATAGACGACAAGAATATGATTGAATTGCAATAGTAGCCACATTGGTTGTATATAAATCAAGTATATTTTCAACTATTACTTTTTGGATTTTCGAAAACAATGAAATTTTATAATAAAATGAATATTTTCTGAGATTATGCTTCACAAAATAAAAATTTCTAAATCAGATTTTATATGTTATTATTAGATATTAATCGATAGTTTTTGAAAAGGCGAATCTAATCAACGTGTACAGAGTTTTAAGAGTATGCGGATAGTATTCTCACACTCTAATTACGACCCCATCCTTAAAATTCTCGATCATCCAAAGTATCACGAATTCTCAGTAAATGTCTGAAAACGTTTCTCAGTTCCAGAAGAATCGATTAAAGTCAAAGAAGGTGAAATTAACTTATGTATATGCACAGATAGTTTTTGCAAGATGCCATAGGTAAATCGACACTGAAGCAGTGTGATCAATTTATACGGTCAGAAAGAAGAAAGTCTTAGCTACAAAAAAATTATTTTTATCTAATCAAAATTTTGAGATAGAGAAGTAACTTTTATAAACAGATGATGTCGAAGATTACAGATTAA